CAATCCATCAACAAGTGCAACGATTTGCCCAATCCATATTCGATGCTGAGGCCCAATTTGACCAAAGCAAGTCGCCAATTGGGGAAAGCACAGGCCACCACATTACCTTATGCCAACACCACAGGGCCAGATTGTCATCGCCAAGGCAACGAATCAACGCATACTCGAGGCATTTATCGATTTTTTCTGTACGTTTAAATTTAACGGCAAAACCCTGTGTACACACAAACTGTTTCTGCTGCTGATCCGTGAGTACGTTTCTGATGATGAATCTGCGAGCGATTTCGAAACGTCAGACGAATAAACGTATTGTCTTAGCGATTGAGTCGTCTTCTACCTTTCAATACACTCACTATACAGAATGAATGCGTTCTGTTCACCATAAAGTGTAAATGAATTAAGTGGATTCGGATGTTTGTGCAAACAAATACTAGCAAACGCAAGACGTCCTGTTTCGATATGGTAACTCTACGTTTGCCCATTAATTGTTCTCTTAACTATCTGCGTAGCACTCAAACGCCTAATATGCCAGTTTGCCGTTTTTGCGTGCTAGGAATGCGGTTGCCACAGTCACGCAAACGAATCAATCGGCGAATCAGAAATTTCTCGCGAAAACGCTTCCTCAATTAATTTTCGTGATTATCCGTATTTTTATTTTAATAAGATTTATGTTTCGGGCAAATCGTGTCAGGGTCTGCTGGCAGGGTTTTGTCAAAGCAGACCCTGCACCGTCTTTCTATCTTCTGATGAGACAAGATATGTTCTCGACAGGCAAAATATCAGCTGGCAGTGAGCAAGATTAGAGGCTGTTATCGTCGGCATCTCTGCTAATGAATCTGTGTACTTTAAGGACTGCTTCATGGAAAGACGAGACAAGATATTATTTGGTTAGAGGAAAGTAAAATAAGGGATTTGTAACAAAAATCCAAGTAGACTTACTCCTAAGGCGTTGTTAACTCAAAACGCCTGAACAATATGCCCGATGCACTGAAATATATAGGATGCAGCTAACCATTAACTTTGACTTTCACGAAATGCTGTGTATATTTTCCCTAAACAGAATGGTTTTCTTTACTTTCCTGCCTTTTCCTGTTACGATTGAAAGGTGAATGGTTTTGTAAGCGTTTACTATTATCATAGTGTTAACTAGGTCCCTTAAGATATTGGCATGCTTCATGTATACAGAGGTAAACAATTAATTGTTTTCTCAACTTAATTGGTAGCACACTGTTCTAACCGCAATTGTAGCTAATGCTTAACTGCAAAAGTGCAAGACCTCACCCCAAATCCAAACTACTGATGGCACGATTTTGTTATGGAAACTTTAAGGACTCTTCTAAACCAAGACCGCTGCTAAAAATAGTTGGTAGCGAAGGAAAAAATCTGTCACCCCAATTGATTTTGAAATAAAATTTGAAAGAATGTCGTCGTGTTTTTCGATTGCAAAAAATCGTTTCTTAACTTGTAAACTTGCCAGTGCATGGTTTCGATGGCATTAAAGTGTTCAAATTGAAATTTGATTTATTAGAAAATGCGAATTTCAAGGTAAAACATATCATCTTGTGTCGAAGGTTGATGCTTTAAGCGTTCCCTGGTGCCTTAATGCATAATTAGCACGATTTTACTAATTGGATTGTTTTACTTTGGACCAAATATTCGGGTCGATATGAGCTTCATCACTACTTTCTTCGGGAAAACTGACTTCGTAAAAAAGATCAAATACTTATC